ACCTATATCATTCCTACTGAAACTATTTCAAAAAAAAAAAAAAAAGAAAAAAGCCCAGTGTCTTAATTTCCTGGCATGCCATCTCACGGTCAACTGGTAGAGCAGTAATCCTTTCTGATGAGCCAGTGGCCCTCTGGAGAAGGGCACACTGAACACAATAAGCATGGCTTATAGTTTTGTATTGTTCTTCACCCGTCCCTAATTCATACAATATTAAATTTTTAAATTCAGCATCCTTGTTCTTCAGGGAGCATGGGTAGGAACGAACCACACCTAATGGAGTAGGCCCTTTCATTTTATTGATTCCTTCCCAAAGACCATAACGAAAGGCCTATAAGGGTGGCATTGACAGATTTCAAACTTCAGATAGAAACAAATAGTAGTAATGTAGCCTTTCCAAGAAACTTCACATAAATGAATATTTTATAAACTGAAGATGTGTCATTTCCACATGTCCTTTGCTCCTTTGATACACATCATGTTATAAGAAACCCCGTCTCTGCTAAAAATACAAAATTAGCCGGGCATGGTGGCACATGCCTGTAATTCCAGTTACTTGGGAGGCTGAGACAGGAGTATCGCTTGAACCCGAGAGGCAGAGGTTGTGGTGAACTGAGATTGCACCATTGCACTCCAGCCTGGGCAACAAGAGTGAAACTCTGAAAAAAAAATGCAAACACACACAACATATTTTGACCTGGAATTATTCTGCAGTTTGTAATACTACCAGTTAATTTTGGAGAATTAGGCTTAGTGATTCCTCATATGAATACTATGATTTGGAGACTGTTGTGGGAGTTGGTTTAAAAAACTACCACCTTCATGACATCACTGTTGCTTAAAGGTCTTTTCATGTTTAGTACAGTTTTAATAGATTCTGTATGAATTTTCTCATGACCGGAAAGACAGGGACATTTGATAAAAAGCCTTACCACTTTTGGCCGTGCACGGTGCCTCACGTCTGTAATCCCAGCACTTTGGGAGGCTGAGGCAGGCGGATCACCTGAGGTCAGGAGTTCAAGACCAGCCTGGCCAACCTGGTGAAACTCCATCTCTGCTTAAAATACAAAAACATTAGCTGGGTGTAATGTTACATGCCTGTAATCCCAATTACTTGTGAGGCTGAGGCAGGAGAATCACTTGAACCTGGGAGGCGGAGGTTGCAGTGAGCCGAGATCACACCATTGCACTCCAGCCTGGGCGACAAGAGCAAAACTCTGTCCCAAAAACAAACAATGAAACAAATAGCTTTACCACTTTCATTGCATTTGTGAGGCTGCTCTCCAGTATAAATCCTGTGATGTGCCAGTTTTGACCACTGGGTAAAAGCCTTAGCATACATATTACGTTTGTGCGATTTATCTAAAAGATGTATACTTTGTTTTTTGTTTGAGATGGAGTCTTGCTCTGCCACCCAGGCTAGAGTGTAGTGATGCAATCTCGGCTCACTGCAACCTCTGCCACCTGGGTTCAAGCAATTCCTGTGCCTCAGCCTTCTGGGTAGCTGGGATTATAAGCACCTGCCACCATGCCCAGCTAATTTTTTTTTTTTTTTTTTGAGATGGAGTCTTGCTGTGTTGCCGAGGCTGGAGTGCAGTGGTGCAATCTCGGCTCACTGCAACCTCCGCCTCCTGGCTTCAAGAAATTCTCTGCCTCAGCCTCCTGAGTAGCTAGGAATTACAGATGCCCACCAGCACACCTGGGTAATTTTTGTATTTTTAGTAGAGACAGGGTTTTACCATCTTGGCTAGGCTGGTCTTGAATTCCTGACCTCTTGTGATCACCTGCCTCGGCGTCCTAAAATCATTGGATTACAGGCGTGAACCACCACGCCCAGCCTAATTTTTGTATTTTTAGTAGAGACAGGGTTTTGCCATGTTGGCCAGGGTGGTTTCAAACTCCTGACCTCAGTTCATCCGCCCACTTCAACCTCCCAAAGTTCTGGGATTACAGGCGTGAGCACCACGCCCAGCAAAAGATGTATACTTTAATATCTAGTGCACTGTGAAGCCTGAATAGAGCCTCTGCCACATACCTGATATTTACATGGTTTCTTTTCAATATGGACTCTCTGATGTCATGTAATACTTGAACTGTGGTAAAGGTTTTCCCATGCTCATTGCATTTGTAAGGTTTCTCCCCAGTATGAATTTTGTTCTCCAACTTCTGGTCCTCAGATAAAATCCTTGTCACACACATTACATTTGTGTGCCTTTTCCCCAAGATATATTAGATACTTATGTCTAATAGAGTAGTGAACACTGCTTTAAAACATTGCTATATTCATTGCATTTACAAGTATGAATTATTTGGTGAGTCCTGAGTTTAGGGCCATGCCTAAAAGCCTTGCTACATTCAGTGCCTTTGGAAGGTTCGCTCCAGTATGAACTATCTGATGATTATTGAGGTATGAGCCCTGAGTAAAGGCTTTGCCAGACTCAAGACATCCGTAGTTTCTCTCCAGTATGAATTCTTTGGTGAATCCTGAGGTCACATCACTGTCTAAAGGCCTTGCCACACTCAGTACATTTGTATGGTTTCTCTCCCGTGTGAATTTTCTCATGAAGCCTAAGATGTGAACACCTGCTGAAAGCCTTACCACATTCATCACATTTGTAATGTCTCTCTCCAGTATGGATTCTCCGATGATTTACAAGGTGTGAATTTTGACTGAAGACCTTGCCACACACATCACATTTGTAAGGCTTTTCTCCAGTATGAATCCTATGATGACTTTCCAGATGACAATTTTGCTGAAGAATTTGCCACATACATCATATTCATATGGTTTCTCTCCAGTATGGATGATCGTGTATGTGTAGTGAGGTGAGAGGCCTTGGTAAAGGTTTTTCCACACTCATCACGCTTCTAAGGTTTCTCTCCAGCATGGATTCCTTGGTGAGTTCTGATATCCATCCATTATCTAAAAGCCATGCTGCATTCAGTACATTTGTATGGCTTCTCTCCAGTATGAATACTCTCATGTCTAAGGTGGGACTGCTTCACATAAGCCTTTCCATCCTCGTTACATTTGTAAGGTTCCTCTCCAGTATGAATTACCTGATGGTTAGTTAGGCTTGAACACACAATAAAGGTTTTACCATACTCATTACGCTTGTAAGGTTTCTCTCCAGTGAGTTCTCTGAGGGTCCACCAGCCTTGAATTTTGAATAAATGCCTTACTACATTCATTACATTTGTGTGGTTTCTCTCCAGAATGAATTCTGAGATGTTTTACAAGTTTTGAACTCTGAAAAAAAGTCTTGCCACACTCATTACATTTATAAGGGCTCTCCAGTATGGATGACCTGAAGATTAGTTAGGCTTTGTCACACTCATTACACTTGTAAGGTTTCTCTCCAGTGTGAATTATCTGATGGTTTTAAAGGTATGAATGTTGACTTAAGACCTTGCCACACTCTAAATTTGTAAGTTTTCTCTCCAGTATGAATTCTGTGATGACTTGCTACTTTTGATTTTTGAATGAAACCTTTGCCACATACATCACATTTATATGGTTTCTGTCCAGTATGGATTCTCTGATGTCTAGTAAGGTTGGACCCCTGATTAAAGGCCTTGCCACACTCATTACATTTGTAAGGTTTTTCTCCAGTATGAATTCTGTGATGACTTGCCAGGTTTGAAATTTGACTGAAAGCTTTGCCACATATATCACATTTATATGGTTTCTGTCCAGTGTGGATTCTCTGATGTGTATCAAGGTGGGACCTCTGATGAAAGGCCTTGCCACAATCATTACATTTGTACGGTTTTTCCCTACTCTGTGCTCCCTGTTCTTGTGTGAGTAATGAAGGATGCATAAAATCATTCCTACATATATTAGAAATGCTGGTGTCGACACGAGGAAGATTTGTTTGAAGCAGTGAAACTGAGGAGCCGTGGATGACAGACTTCTCAATTTCATTACATTCATACATTTTCCTTTCAGTTTGAAATCCCTGCAGTTCAGCCAGATGCGACTTTAAGCTCAGTTCACGCTGATTTTCAACTGGCTTATTTCCAGCTTTCCTTCTATCACATTGATCTCTTCTTCTGGTGATGTTTTTTATTTTAATCACAGGTGTTTCTTTGTAATTTCTTTCATCACTGTGACACTGACACTCAAAGTCATGAACATTTTTCTGCATTTCCCTGAAGTAAAAATCTTTGATGTCATGGATTTCACGTCTTTCCAGTATTACTGCTTGGAAGGCTTTTCCTGTGCTATTGTTCTCTTTTGGTGGTAACTCCTTGATCATATGTGTAGGAGAGACACCTACAAGATATTTGAAAAACAGGTTTTGTATTAACTACAGTTGGCAAATCAGTAGTTCATACTGAAAAAGATATTATACCAAAAATAGTATTTATACTGAACAATTATAAAGTTTTCAACCATGATCTTCAAATTTGTAGGAATAGGATTTTTAATAAAGAAAAAATGATTATGGCCAGGCACAGTGGTACATGCCTGTAATCCCAGCACTTTGGGAGGCCAAGGCAGCTGGATTACAAGGTCAAGAGACCAAGACCAGCCTGGTCAATGTGGTGAAATCCTGTCTCTACTAAAAATACAAAAATTAGCTGGGCATGGTGGCAAGTGCCTGTAGTCCCAGCTGCTTGGGAGGCTGAGGCAGGAGAACCACTTGAACCCAGGAAGCAGAGGTTGCAGTGAGCCAAGATCATGCCACTATACCCTAGCCTGGCGAAAGAGCAAGACTCCATCCCCCCTCAAAAAAGGCTGGGTGCAGTGGCCCATGCCTATAATCCCAGCACTTTGGGAGGCCGAGGCAGGCGGATCACTCCTGAGGTCAGGAGTACAAGACCAGCCTGACCAACATGGAGACAGCCTGTGTCTACTAAAAATAGAAAACTTAGCCAAGTGTGGTGGCATGTGCCTGTAATCCCAGCTACTCAGGAGGCTGAGGCAGGAGAATCACTTAAACTCGGGAGGCAGAGGTTGTGGTGAACCGAGATAGCACCATTGCACTCCAGCCTGGGCAACAGAAGCAAAACTCCGTCTCAAAAAAAAGTGATTACATGTAATTCAAATTAATTTTAGGGAAGTCTAGTTTCAAATAGCCTATACCCCAAACATCTGTGTTGTGCAAACTTATGTTAATTCTAAAAATGGGGGCAGGCTGTACAAGATGCATGGCACCAGCATCTGCTTTAATGAGGGCCTCAGGCTGCTTCCACTTATGGCAGAAGGCAAAGGGAAGATGGCATGTGCAGAGGTCACATGGCAAGAGAGGAACCAAGAGGGAAGGAGGTGCCAGGCTCTTTTCAATGGCCAGTTCTCACGGGAACTAATAGAGTGAGAACTCATTCATTACCTCAAGTAAAGCACCAAGCCTTTCATGAAGGTCCCACTCTCCTGACCCAAACACCTCCCATTAGGACCCACATCCAACACTGGGGATCAAATTTCAACATGAGATTTGGAACGGACAAACATCCCCTCCAAACTATAGCGGTAACCTTAATAAGGAAAATAAGCACGGTTGGGTGCAGTAGCTCATGCCTGTCTGTAATCCCAGTACTTTAGGAGGCCAAGGTGGACGGATCACAAGGTTAGGAGTTGAAGACCAGCCTGACCAACATGGTGAAACCCCGTCTCTACTAAAAATACAAAAATTAGCCGGGTGTGGTGATGGGTGTCTGTATTCCCCGCTATTCAGGAGGCTGAGGCAGGAGAATTGCTTGAACCTGGGAGGCGGAGGTTGCAGTGAGCCAAGATCATGCTACTGCACTCTAGCATGGTTGACAGATGAGACTCCGTCTCAAAAAAAAAAAAAGAGAAGTAAACGACCTACAGTGGGTAATGGTTTATACTGAAGGGAGCTGTTAGTGGATGCAAAGTACAGAAACATTTCCTGGCAGTGCACAGAGACCCATGGACTAGGTTTTTAGCAACATAGCACATAACTGGCAGAGAATAACAGGACAGCACCAAGAAGTGGATTGACAGAAACCAAGTGAACATTACAGAAAATTCAGATGTAAAGAAAGATGGGGAACAAAATAGTCATCATGTGTTAACTGAAGAATGCAACTTGCAGAACTTCAGAAATTTGTAGAAAATATGGGTGATATATGTAACAGTGGAGAAGTCCTTGAAGTATAAGAAATGAGCCAGGCTTCCTTTAAAATACTGTGAGATATTTAAATGTTAATTTAGTACACCAAGATGGATGTGATAAACCTAGATAAGAAACATAACGTTTACAAAATAACAGCTGGAGGATATTTGTTTGTTTGTTTGTTTTGTGTGTGTGTGTTTTTTTTT